TTTTAAAGAATAACTATTTATAATGCTACCTAAATAATAATAAAAAAATACAGTGAAAGCAATGAAGATTTTGTAGGTTTTGAAACAAACTAAATAACGGTAAACCTTTTTTTTATTTACGGTATTTTATTATTTTTGAGGTTTTTGAGCTCTTTTGTGTTTAGAACAATATATACTAATTTTTAAAGTATCAAATTGAATTTTTGTTCAATAAAAATCTTTCAAATACGACTGTAGCTTTTTCCCCCCAAAACTTTGTCTTCAAAATAAGGGTCCGTCTTATACACCGGTGCGCCTTATATTCCAAAAAATACGGTAATCGACTCGTATTACCATAATTAGCAAGAACTGTTTATGACATTTTTTGTTTGAGTTTGTTCAATAACATTTTTATTGTTACAAAAATCTTGGAACAGAAAAATTTATAGAATAGATATCATTTTTGGTATAAAAATTATGTATCATAATATTTAATACAACATTAAATATTATGTTAATATTTTAATACATACTACTTGATTGCTAAACATGAGTCGTACAGGAATTGTTTCTCGTTGACTCAACGATAAGCTTCAGGACTTCTAACGTTAAAATTCGGAGGGCACAACACGTAGTCCTTTATGCAGCTTTGGGCTTAAACAAACGAGCGTACAGAAATTATGTAAACTATTAAGTACTGCCGTATCGTTTATAACTTTATTGTTAAACGACTAATCACTTGAAAGAGTATTCATATTTGTAACAGTTTAATGTAATCAGAAATAATGAATTTATTTTAAGCTGTATTTATATGATTTAAAATCTAAAATTACATTGCGTGAGTTTAGTTGGTGTAACTTAATATATTTTTAGCAAAATTCCTCATTTCGATTCGTTTTCAAGAATGGTAAATACGAGACTAAGTGTTAAAAAGCGTTGAACTTAATATTCTATAATAGTGTATTGTCAAGAAGGATATATGTAAATACTTTATTCTACGTTGTAGGAGATGAAGGAAGTGGTGCCATTTCCGCTCACTGCCATAGCAACGCCACACAGAGAAAAGATAGTTAATTTCTCACCACTTCGTAAACATGTAAGTCGACTAATCTCTGAATCTAGATTCTAGATCCAAGAAAGTCAGACATTTTATGTTTTCAAATCTGTGAAGAAATTAATTCTAGAAATATTTCAGGAAAACTTAATTTTTAGTAGTATATATTAAAGTAAGTATGTGGGTGTGTTGGGCTAAGGATTCTTCTACAGCAGGTGTTTGTGACTTGTTGGCGATAAGTTCAGAAAAATAAACGAACAGCACGCACTCCACTTATTTTCAAAATAATATATATATCTGGAACAAATTAAACGTATTGTACAAAAATTCCTTACACTATGGAGGTCATTGTTACATCTTAAACGCTGTGTAGTTCTCTTCTTGTTGTCAGAAGTCCACTTCGGCCTGTTCAGTTGCTTTAGAATTCGGTTGATAAGCCAAACTATTTTTCTCTATTTCTATCGCCAGACTATCCGTGTTGTTGAGTTATCGCAGCTGTATCCTGTACTTCACAAATCGTCTGCTTTTTGTTAAAGTGCATTCAGGCTGGTTCAATTATTTTAGAACACCCTTTGCCGAGACAACCTATTCTTCTTATCTCCTACGAAATTGTTAATATAACTCTAACTTATCAACCGTTAGGCCTTTCACTCCCACGACGATTAATTTTGCGTTTAACTTTTCTCTGACCGAACTTCTTCCCGTGACTATTTTACTCTCTTCTGCTGCTTTTTTTTTGTCTGCTTACGGCTATTTATACGTTTATCACTTAGGCCTTCTAGAAATCTCTTTATCCTCGACATCAATGATTATAAACACAAGGTACGATTCTTATCGAATTACGTAACCAAACTTGTCATAACTATCGCCTTTAAAATAATTGCTTTTAACTCTCTTGTTACGAAAAAAAACAACAACACTAAACAATCATGAAATATTCACTCACAAAATTAATAATACCTACACCAAACAGTCTTTTATATCTGACAAAATACTAATAGGGTCCGACTCCGTCGTCTTTTAGAACAGATTTTATTGAACTATCTAAAAACCAAATTCATTGTGGTCACAAGGCCCCTAATTATAACAGTTATGCAAATTTTTAAAGTAAATATGTGGGATTAACCTATGTTTTTTGCTTGTAAAATGTGTGATTTTACCCAATATTTGGTCTTTTTAAAAAACAAATTTGGTGTTATTACAGGCATAAGCAAAAATACTCAACATGATGCAATTTGTGGACACCATTGGTTGTGAACGGTATAAAAACAAGTCTGTAATTTGAGGGTTAATAAAGAAGTCTACTTGCTAACAAACAAAAATGAAAAAGAACAAAAACTACATTTTTTGAACGTATGATACATCGTACGATAAGTTTTAACCTGTTATAAATCCACGATGTATTATATTGAAAACAAAATTTCTTTGATAATAACTATATAGCTATTTCATAAAATTTATCAAAGTTTATCACGGTTTAAAGAAGTCTTTGTTGGTTTGGTGGTTAGGGCGCTTGACCCTCAATCTGGGGGTCGCGGGTTCCAATTCCTCACTGAACATGCTCGCTCTTTTAGCTGTGAGGGCGTTATAATGTGACGGTCAATCTCATTATTGGTAAAAGAGTAGCCCAAGAGTTGGTGGTGGATAGTGTTGACCAGCTGGCTTCCTTCTAGTCTATCACTGCTAAATTAGGGACGGCTAACGCAGATGATAGCCCTCTTGTAGCTTTGCGCGAAATTCAAAACAAACCAAACAAACCAGTCTTTATCAGTTTCACTTGTTACTGCATGCTAATAATACGTATTAGACTGGAAATGGTATAAAAAAACTGTCAATAGTATGTAACCATTAATACGTTTTATCGTACTGAAACTTAAATGTCTTGTTTGAGGAAATATTTTTGTCTCGACGACCCGAGTCACCGATGAAGATATCCTCATCTTGATCAATTTGGGTGTATATTGCATAGGATCGTATGGGACAACATTTTGGACCAACCTCTAAGAAACTGTTGTATTACTTATAAGTTTTAATACGTTGTGTTGTTGATTATATTTTTCCCGGTACTACATAGAACTTGAAAGTAGTGTTTAGATTTCTTTGTCGGTGGTGTCCATTTTTCTCCGTAAAGAGTCATATTTCAATGAAGTTGGTGCTTTTAAAAGAGCGGCATCTTTGTAATTAAGAACATAAAACACTTGCAGCTTTAACAAATTTATTTTAAAGGTACCGAATCACACTAACTTATAAGTACTCATAAAAATGGTACAACTCTTTTTCCTGCTCATGTAATAACGTTCAAAAACTTATCGGGCTTCAAGTTTTGTTTATATAAGTTTGTTTGTTTTTCAAACTTTTAGTCGGAGTTGTAAGAACTAGTATCTAAATTATAAATTAAAATGTTTAATAATAATAACTAGATTCATACTGGCCATAGACACCCAACACGGGGAGCAGAATGACAAAAAGGTCACGTACCTTTCCCCACTTTGAGTCTAAATGGGGGTAAACTATGAATTATGTCTTTTCTGTTTGTTTTAAAGTGACATTGGTAAATGCTCTATGGTTCTCCTTCTTTGGTGATGTGAAACTCTTTTACGTTCGCCTGGGTAATTAGATATCTTGCTATTTGTCGCTATTCACCACTCGTGTAAAACAAGAAGTTCAAGTTATTGATAGATGGAGCTTTTATATTGCTGGGGTGGCTTTCTTTTACCCTATATCAAATTTTGTGTGTCCTATAAATGGAAATTCGTTATATTCTAAACATCCGCCATGCCGCATTTGGAAAACAATTTTTTTGTAATAGTTTATTTATTTATATGCTGGTTTCTAACAACAATCAAATAGACTGCGGACACACTTAGTATTTTCTCATATTGTCCAGGTTTTATTTGCTACGTTTCAGTGCCGATAAATATCATTTTGAATTTGTAATGCCATCTACTGGTTTGTTTTGAAAAAATAGCTAACATAATATTCCATTTGATTTGCCAAATGCACTTATTTGCTCGAGGTACATTTTGTTGGAAGTTCGAACTTTTTTTTATTATCTTTCAAGCTACTTTCATACATATCGATACTTTAACCTACAGGTCACGTATATTAGGCGCACTCTAATGTTGTGTTGCTAACAGCAGTGTTTCATTTAAATTCACATATGGTTTGTAATAAACACGAACTGACAATAATTGGGGTGCTTCTAGAGAAGGGAGAGTAAAAGTATTTGTTTTTCGTAATATTTATTTCAAGATAAATATACTTTGGTGAACATTTATTGTGATAATTTCTTGGCATGATGTGCCTGAAATATCTGATTGACTATTTCGAACGTAGCTATTGTCCAAATTTTGTTTCTTCTGGACTTGCTATAAGAGTGCCGGTCAAACCCACTATTCGATCAGGCAACAGTAGAGCGTCCCCCGGTGGGACAGCAGTAAGTCTTAGGATTTACACTGCTAAAATCAGGGGTTCGATTACCTCGGTGGACACAGCAAATAGCCCGATGTGGCTTTGCTATAAGAAAACACACATACGCAAGAGTAACCCAATAGTTGGTAGTGGGCGTTGTTAATTAGATTACTTTTATTTAGTCTATTTTTTCAAGTCCCTTTGTGGGTCAGTGGTCAATTGGCTGACTTCCACGGCAACAAACCTGGGTTTGGTTCTTCGCAGTGGACAGAGCTCAGAGAGCCTATTGTGTGATTTTGAGCTAAAACAAACACACATTTTTTTTTTCTGTTGAAAACTTGTTTCATTAGCTTTAATGGCAAAATGTATATTTTATGAAAATATCAACATAGTGTACATGATTTGTTAAAAATTTAGAAAATCAGTCGAAAATAGTGTGCATAAAACATTTAAAAGTTTTATTCTTCTATTTAATATTAGCTATTCTCTTGGGTTTACATTATCCTGACGCCTTTTTCGCCAGTGTTAAAAAAATAAATAAAGAAAGAAAGCTGGTAGCAGAGAATTGTGAGTTCTTTGATGTTTTGCGTGCTGGATAACTAGACCTACGGACAAATAATCATAGGGAATTGTGTAAGCACATTTGGAAGAATAACGGGGAAGTTCCTATAAAAATGAAACAGCATTTATAAAACACGATACTTTATAAAATATTCGAGGCGAATCAGGTATTGGTTTCGTTACCACGACGACCAAAATGTACAAATAAGTGTGTACAACAACAACAAGCATGAAAGATTGATTGTACACGTTACAGTTTTGTTTTCGATCGCACTTCCATACTTTGTAGTTTCTAGTGATTCACTTTCGTTCATCCACATTCTTGTTTATGTTTTAAGCCATACGTTACATCTTAATGTATAATAAAATAGTTATTACAATGTCAGCTTATTTCTCGTGAGTTACATGACTCTTGAGATAGGAAAATTACACGTGATTGTGTAAATTGTTTGGAATATATATATATATTTGTACTAATTTCAGTTATTTCAAAGTAAAATTTTCAATCGTGTTCTCATTTTCTTTCTTTGTGCAGAAAGTATATTTTTACGTGATAAATATGGATCATCTATGCATTGGTTAAAGCGTGTCTGTAAAATATACCCCCAAAAAGATATCCCTAAATTTGTAGCATGTTGCTTCTGGCAATGGCAAGAATAGGGCGCTTGGTGGCCATCGTAAAACGTGTTTTTACTCTAATTTTAACCATATATTATATAATGTTTGAGTAAATAAAGTGTTACGCATAATTTAATATATTCGTAACTTCTGAAAACAAAAGGTGTAAAGTCCTGCACAAAAAACTAATGAGGGTAGATGTTCGAATGTCATAATCCATGATTTTCCCTTCACCAATTTAAATTGCATCATCTTAAATGATGTTACATATAGGTGAAATAGTTCTTCACGCTCTGCGATACCCGTGACATTGTTAGTCAAGCTAATTTTTGTGTCAAAAGATTACAGTTTAAAGTTGCTTTCATGCAAGATCACTAAAGTAGGACGTGTTCTTTTTCTTAATGGTTAATATGGTATTGAACTTTACAAAAAGTCCAAAACTAAATTAGATA